ACACACACACACACACACACACACACACACACACACACACACACACACACACACACACACACACATTCTCTCAAGCCATGTGTTGCAGCATAAGCCGTCATGCATGAGCGCACATCAGATTCTGTTTGTGCTTGGGTACGAGTGTGTGTGCGTGCTGGTGTGTGTGTGTGTGCTGGTGCTGATGGGGGTCAGAGGGCAGGCTGGTGGTACAGTGGTAATAGGGACGCGTGCGCGTGTGTGTGTGTGTGTGTGTGTGTGTGTGTCCAGATGGCATCGGCAGTAATGCAGCGGCGTGTGGAACAGTAGCACTAATCCGACTCCATCCTGCACGTGCCACACACACAGACAACTGATGAGTGTGTAATGTAAGAGTTGTGTGTGTGTGTGTGTGTGTGTGTGTGTGTGTGTGTCCAGTATACAGAGTTAATGTAAACAATACACACTTATATTATATTACAGAGGTAAATTGGTCAATTTCAGCACTTTTAGTTCATTAATCTGGCGTCTGTTAACTGGGAAATGTTTTGATTTGTAGTTTAGTAACAAACACGTTAATATTTGACATGAGACAACACTAAACTCCGACACTACACAGTTTAGTGCATTAGTGTGTCATTTGGGACGCGACTCAATGAGTGAGAATTAAATCATTCAGTCCAATGATTTGCTCTAGACAACTGATTCATTCGGAATCAACTGTTCTAAATAAAAGATTCAATCAGAGCAGCTGATCCACTTCCAAACGAATCAGCTGTTATAAATGAATCTTTTGTTCAGAATGGCTGATTCCAAATGAACAAATGATTCGTTCAGTACAGCGGATTTAATTCCAAGCGAATCAGCTGTTCTAAATGAATCAGATGTTTTAAACGAATGATTTGTTCAGATCAGCTGATTCGTTTGCAGGTGACTCAGTTGAGTATCTTTATGAATGGATGTGCAGTGTTGCTCTGATACACACAGGTCTGCTGCGCTGTGTGTTTGTGTTCATCAGAGAAACCAACAAACACAACACTGTGTACATTACCTGAGTATGAATGAGTTGGTCTATACACTGTCACATTTGAAGTGGTGCTATTGTACTGCTGTTGTGTGTTTGTTTAATGGTCACACAAGGAGCTGGACTGAACTGAACTCCTGACACACACACACACACACACACACACACACACACACACACACACACACACACACACACACACACAGTCTCACAATGGTTCTCTGATACTTAATTGGCAGTGTAATCCTGAGGAATGTCTCTAATTAGTAGATACTAAAGTTCAGATTTTTACCAGCCTGTTCCTACACACACACACACACACACACACACACACACACACACACTCTGACACAGCACACACAGTGAGGCAACACACAGACATACACTTATACCACACACTGATGCTACACACACACAACACACACACTGACACTGCGCACTCATGCCACAAAACACAGACAGACACACACTGATGCTACACACACACACACACACACACACACACAAATGATGGTGTTCCTCCTCCCGGTGTAGAGCATCATTATGGAGTTTTACATTAGAACTGACGTGGTTCAAGTGATGGATCAGCAGCAGAGAGGCTCGAGTGGGAAACACTCGTCACGACAGCGCTCTCTTCCCAAACCCTGCATCATACTGGGATAGTTCCTGTTGTGTTATTGTTTGGGAAACACAGCCCTGCTCCACTCAGTGTGTTCTCCTGCAGACTGACGGCTGATGCTCTGCTACACTGAGTGTGTGTGTGTGTGTGTGTGTGTGTGTGTGTGTGTGTGTGTACTGT